GAGGGGTCCCCGCGGGGCGCCGCCGCCGTGGCCGCCATGTGCTCCCAGGTCTGGCTGCTAACGGACCGGCGCCTCAGCGAGGACTACCCGCAGGTGCAGATTCTGCGCGCCCTCCGGCAGCGCTGCTCCGAGCAGGACGTGCGCTTCCGGGCGGTGTTCATGGACCAGCTCGCCGTCACCGTCGTCGGCGGCCACCTCGGTGAGCGAGGCGGGCCCCGGGAGGGCGGGCAGGCGCGCCGGGTCCCAGGGCCTCCCCCGCCGAGTCGCCTTCGGGTCCCGCGGCCGGCCGCTCCTCACCTGGGGCTGGGGAAAGCCCGTCACCTTGATAGCCTCTGTTAGTCTCCATCGTCTGCCCTGAGGCCAGGGTTTGAGGACAAGATTTATTAATTCACTTGGGGGACTTCGTGTTGTGAGAGACCCGGTTCACCTGAAGCCTCCCGGGTGTCCAAGGAAAACGAAGCTGCAGACACCACATTTGCAAATTCTACTTGCATGGATACCTCCTCAGTTTAGACTCTGAAATTTAAGAAACCCACTCTAAATGTACAAAATTGCTATATGTTGGCTGTTTTGAAAACTTTCCCAGCAGCTTGTATGCATGGGTGGTGCTCTGCAATGCATATTATTCCCAAACTCGGAATCTGCGTATGGGGGAAATGTGAAAAAGATGGGAGCTACCTCTGGAGTGCAAAGTGCGGGAGACCTTTGATAGGTTTTCTTTAACTCATCCTCCTTCTTAAAAGCGTCGAATTCTGATTCCAGAAAAGCCAAGGTTTCAGGTACACATTGTTCTGACCTTACTGATCACTGCACTGCTGTATCCAAGAGTTTTTCAGGGGTAAGACGTGGTTATCCTCTGTGACCCTGACCTCAAAAGGTGAAGTATGTTTTCAGATATTCTGTATTATCCTTACTGCTTAAGCCTTCTCTGATTTAGGAATCCGTGATTTAGGAACTTCCCACTCAATGGCTTGCTAGTTGTCCCAGTGCTTTGCTAGAGGCTTCAGGGGCTCGAGGACTCAAGGGGAGTCCCAGTTGGTCCCAGTTCAGGGCGGTTATTGGGATATTGTCCACATTACCTCAACCATATCTGTTTATATAGGCACATACAGTACTTTTCTTCGACAAGGAAAGGGATTCCAAGTTTTGAACAAGCTACTTGCAAGGGAGCTTGTGAGTGTGACCTATCTCTAAGTGGAATATATGTGTTGTAGATCTTTTCTCTGTGCGTTTATCTAAACCATATGTAATGTCAGATTATGTATCCTTTCGAGAAATATACTGCAAACATCAGGTGCCTTACATTTAGTCTAAAGCAGTGTCTTTCAAATGTAAGGAGTATCTACCCTCTGTCTATCCTTGATTTGCTAAAACTCTCGCAATTCAAATGCAGAGCTAGATTCCTGAACAAGGAATTTGCAGACCTGGAGCCTTATCACAGTTTTGGTGTTAACAAGTATCTTGGCTTTGCTTTGGGCAAGTCATTATGTCTTTGAATGTCAAGTTTCTCATTTAGGAAACTAAGGGTAGAGGTTCCTCCAGCCTGAAAATTCTGTTTCAGTACTATATTTAAATAGGATAATCTTAAGAGTTGGCTGATCTAGGTTACATCTTTACACCCCCAAGGATGAGTTTGGTTATTTATTTTTCTTTTACAACTTGTAAATATGTCTCTCTTTTTAGGTATATAGTAACCAGAATTTCACATCGTGTTTATTTTGCAGACTCATCACAAAGTCCATAAAAGTAGGAAGATGCTTTCTGTATTTAAAAGTTCAGTTTGAAGAATCAGCTTTAGAAAAAGTGAAAAATCTAGAGTTGCAGAAAACATTTAAACTTTTTGTTTAGTGTCTTAAAATTGAGTGAAATTAATGTGTGAAAGTGTTTCAACCTATCCACAAACCAGGAATTCTTTCTTTTAAACAGGAAAATCCACACAGCTATTTGGTTGGTCAATGGAGAAATTGAAGATAGGTGTTTTTGTTGTTGTTTTTTGTTTGTTTTTTTCCGGTACCAGGAATCAAACTCCCGATGTCGCCCTTGCCAGGCAGGTGCTGTGCCGCTGAGCTAAATCCTCAGCCCCCGAAGATGGGTGTTTTTGGTGCAGTTTTAATTGTTTGTTAATTCTGAGGTACCAGTGCCCAGATCACAGCGCATAAGACAGACCTATATGATCACAGTTCCCAACTCAGTAAATATTTTTGAATGAATAAAGACATGAGCTCCATTTCCCAGTTCCTTCTGTAGTCACTATAGAATACCCTAGACAATGTGTCGAACCATTATTCCCCTGAAAATTCATAGGTTTCCTAATCCAGGAATGTATATTTATACTGAAACTGATGCTGTTGCCCACTTGAGAATTACATGAACCCTGCGAAGGACTTTGAGATGATCCATTCTAATTCATTTATTTTACGAAGAACTTCAGGCTCAAATGGATGAAGTAACTTCCCCAGTGTCATCCAACTGGTTAGTAGTTATATTGTCAACTTGCCATTGCTGGGACAAAATACCCAACATAAGGGCATCTCTAAAGGAGGAAATGTTTATTTTGGCTCATGATGTGTGAGGTGTTGTTATGGTTGATACATTGTGTCAACTTGGGGAGTCTAGAGGTTTGGCTAAGTGACTCAGCAGGAAGCCAGGGTGCTTACTTTGTGTACATCCTGAGCCTATGGAAGAGGAGGGCATGGAGAGGTACAGGCCCCTTAGGTGGGGGTAGCCTGTTTACAATGTAAAGGAGGGAAAGAGGCTGTTTGCCACCATTCCTCCCTCTTGCTCTGGCTGCTTTTCTGTTTGGCTGCCATTCCCCCCTTTGCTCTTCTTGCTTTGCTATCTTCTCCCTCGGAGCCAGCCAAGTATGAACTGAAACCTCCACAAACTGTAAGCTAAATAAACCTTTCCTTCCTTCACTTTGGGCATTGGGTATTTTGTCTCAGCAAGGAGAGAAAAGTAACCAAGACAGGTGTCAGTCCGTGGTTGGCTGGTTCCAAGGTAAAAGCATCATGGTAGAAGGGCATGACAGAGCAGAGTTGCTTAGCTCAGGGCAGCAAGGGAGCAGAGAACAGGGGAAGAGCCAGAGAATAAATCCTCGAAATTCTACACACACACACACACACACACACACACACACACACACACACACACGTGACCCTTGCATGGATCCAAAGCATCCATCTAGCTGTCTCTCAAGCCAATCAAGTTGACAGTCAGGATTAACCATCCCAGCAATTTAAAAACCTGATCTTAGTGCTGCAGGCGCAGATAGCCCTGGGGTCAATCCTCAGCACTGCAAAACAAAACACCCTAAACACTTATCTGCAAATTCCCAGTCCACTGATATGGAATGAGTAGGACTTAGATATCTGCAATCTGTAGTGTCTTTCTCAGTAGATGTGGAATTGAGCTGAATTAAATTGAAGTAAGACACTGACTTTGCAAAGGAATTTTATAGTTTAGGAAATTAAGGTACCACCTTTACAAATCCTTTGTGCCTTTGCTCCCTTCTCTTCTTTAGATTAATGTAGGGGTATAATGAAGAAGTGGGCTTGGGGAAGGTACAGGTAGGCAGTAACCTCAGCCAGTGGCTTGAATTCATTCATCCAGGGATGTGAATTTCAGGTTGTATCCAGATGTCTGGTAATAGGATTCTTCCGAGAAGGGATTAAAAGTTTTAATTATGAAGATTGCAAGTGTTTTAAACAACACTATATTTAAGCTGAAAATGCTGTCCACATGCAAGGTCTCATGATTACTTTTATCCAAGTAACCTGCTCTCCCCAACATAACTTTGGGTGGGGAGAAGGAATGACTTGCAAGGGACTAAAGCAGTTCTATAGAACCCATCCTCTCCTTGCTTCCCCCCCATGTGTAGTGTAACGAAAATCATATCCATCTCTACTTCCTTCTTAGAAATTGCAGATTTTTCATTCTCCAACAAATACGTATTAATTATTCTTAACCCTAGAGATAAGGCAGTGAGTGCACATAATAATAGTTGTAACAGAATCGGTGTGGTGCTCGGGGCCAGTCATAGGCCTAGATTCTTTTTAGGTATTAACCCTTACAAGCACCAACAAGGATCACTGGATACATAGTACTGCATGGGTGCTGGGCCCGGCACTCAATGACTCTGGCCCGAACGCTTTCTGTCTCACTCCTTCCATTCTCTCTCATGATCCACCGATACACACTTCACCGTGTTACTCTTCAGCTCCCAGCTGGCCTTGCACTAAACTCTCTGTGGTTGAGATGCCCCTTCTCTCTCACATGGTGAGTTTTTATTCATCCTTCAAATCTAGCACAAGTTACTCATCTCTATAAAGTCTTTCTTGAACTCTGTCCGTAAATAGTCACTCTCTTCCAACTGCTGTCAAAAAGCATTATCTATACCTTTTAAAATAATACATCTTTTTTTTTGGTAATTTGTGTATTTACAAGGTTTATATACCTTTTGTCCTTGAATGAATAACTGGGGATTCCTCAAATGTATGCTTCATAACTTCTATATAGATCTTCATTTAATGTTTGTTGAATGGCTGAGTGAAGTGCCCTGAAGGCTAATTTGAAGTCTTTTTTTGTAATTAGCCTCTGTGTTTGGGAGATCTTGATTGAATATGTAAATATTTTTGTGATGAGCAATTAAATGAGGGCAGATTTAGTAGAAAGAACCAAGTTCTTTCACTACCCCAGGTTTGAAACATTAACTGGTTCCAGAAGCTAGTCACAAACTCAGGGACAGGTACCAAGACAAATGATATGGGTTGAGCTAGGAAGTGAGGTTGTGTTGTGCTTTGTCTCTTAGGAGCAGAATGATTCAGCATTCTTTCTCTTTTAAGAGCAAAAACCTTGGTGACCATATAGCAATTTCTATCATTATTATTATTAATTATTACTACTATTTCAGTGCTGAGGATCAAACCTAGAGCCTTAGCTATGCTAGGCAAGCACTTTATCACTGAGCTACATCCTCAGACACATACAGAAATTTCTAGGTCAGCCTCTTTAAATCAGTGCTCTAGGATCCTTTTGCTTGGTTCCTTGTAGCAATTAGGTAAGATCTGAGAGGGTTGAGAGAGAGGGATCCTAAATAAATTTATATGAGGTGATATCTTACATTCGCCTCCCAGAAGACAACAGAAGGCCTTGGAGACAGGATGGACTTTCATCTTGATGCAGGAAGACACTAGCAAGAAA